TGAACAATTAGAACAGCATTTTATGTCTAAGGCTTACAAACCTGAAAAGGTAGTACCAAAATCTTAAAATTAAGGAATAATTTTAGGAAAAAAACTATTGTTTAAAAGTTTAAACTAAACAAACTAGACAAATAACTTATATTCTCACCTACACCGACAACAACGCGTATATCTTCGTCTGCTGGTTCATAAGAAAATTGCATAATTATATATAATTATAATGAATAAATATACTCTACCAGAAAATTAATAAATTGTTTAAACAAAAAATCGCACAAGTATTTATATACCTAAAGTATATTATTCTACTATATATATAAGTGTTCTCATTGATTCCTAATTTAGATTATTGCAGCAAATTTTCTTTGGTTGATATACAGCTGAATAGAGCGCATCTTATTTTCTTTATTGAATAAATTAGAAATTTTAAAGTACGTACTATACATAGATTTATATGTATAAAATGGCGCAAAATATATAAATGTATTTAACTATTGTATATATAATATCAGAAAATTGTTGTAAATTAAATCGCGGAAATCCTAAAGATTACAATTTCTGGGCGTATCTTAAATTGTCCAGGATGAATGCAATGAAGACTCTCATTAGGAAAAGTATGAAATGTATACTGTATCAATAAATTAATAAAGTAAATAAGAATGATATTGAGAGATAAGAGATTCTTCTTTTTTGTCAATATTATATAGATAAGATGTTTAAACACTTGAAATTCAATAAACTTTAAGAGTTCTCATAAAATATCAAATTTCAAATCGTATTCCCTCAAAATTTTACATAATAACTTTCCTAGAAATTGGAAAGTTATATTTATAACACCATGTTATGTAACAACATACTATTAAATATATAATAACTAAAAAACCTATACCCTTACCCTAATCTAATTTATACGTATAATAGATGTTATGAATATAATATTTATTAAACATATAATATATGAGTGCCGTCAAAAGGAAACCTGTTATCAGGCTTTTAACTATATTTGTACCGGATTCAATCACTAATAAATCAAACAGATAGAGTCCGGTACAAAATATAAGATGACAGGTTTTCTTTTGACAGCACTCACCGGTGTGTAATTAGCCAATAAATTTGCAGATCTCTGATCTGGCAAATTGATTTTTTTTTTTTTAAAAAAAAAAAAAATGCCAATATCTCCTATGAAACCACCTTCGACATCTTCGTTGTTAAAATTTGCACATATATAACATATTGCTAAAAGCTCAGGCCTCACCCTAACCTTAAAGTAAATGAAATAAAATCTTAAACACCGGTAATGATCTCCGCCAGTTATTTAAAGTTTTATTATTAACATATTCGAATTTCCTACTTATTAGACTATACATAGATTTGATTTACATAGTGCGTCGAACACCCCAGCGTTAGTAACTTCAAAACTATGGCAAAACAATGCATAACCAAAAAATCCGGTTTTTATATGTTAAAAACCAGTTTTATTGATCAAAAATATGGGATTTTTACTATCGCTATGCTATTTTAAACACTGATAAGATCACGCCATATCGGAGTCTAAATCCGATACCTAAATATTCAATTCACATGTTAAATATTTCTAATAAATAAATACAATAACAAATGAAGTATCAATACTAGGCGTATATCCTATCAAATATTTAATTGACGCGCAAAATTATCGTTATTATTTTTTTAAAAAAATATGTATATATATATTTTTTCTTAAAAAAAAAAACAATAGATAAAAAACACACATATTTATTTTATTTTAAAAACAAAATTTTAAGATTGACCTTTTCAGTTAATTAAATTTAAATAATTTCGCGAAGAATTATATATTTATTTTTAATGCATATTAAAATGGAAAATATCAATAATATGCAAATCGATTTAGAAGAGCAGAAAATATTCACTAAGCAGTACTCTGACAAGCAAGGAGATTTTGCACAACAACTCTTAGCACTGCAAAGTTTTCTAGAAAGCTTTCAGCAACAATTGTGTCCAGAATTGAAAGGGTTTGTGGAACAATTCATAAAGAATTTGGAATCCCCTCAAAGAGACCAACATTATTTGATACAACAAGAACAAAATTTTTTTCTATTACAAGAAAGGAGATTATTTCAGCATCAAGAACAACTTCAGGGACAACAACTCTCGTTATTTCAACAACAACTACAAAAACAATCAATAGAGTTACTACAATTCAAACAATTATATTCACTATCACAGCTATTGCAACAATACATTCAACTATATAAGCAAGAATTGCAAGATCAGCCATTAAATAATCGTCAAGAACTCCTAAAGTTTCAGTTAACACTTTTACAAAAATTTGAACGTTTCACAGAAGACCACAAAATTATATTAAAATTGAATTATGGACATATCCAACATGAAACCCTCTTGGAAGTCTTAGATCGATTTCAAAATAATATACATGACTATCGAACATATATAGATGGACATAGACAGTACTTACAACAAGAACTACAAATGCTAAAGAAGCCCGTGGAAGATAATATCATAAAGTTATGTCTTGATTTTGGTGATAATTTTATAATTAGTAAAGAGGTATATAATGGATTTCTTTTACCACATCAAAATTCCGGCATTCTAAATAGAATTGTTCTTAATCATATTCACTCTACTGAAATTAATAATATTTCTGAGCAAGAATATAAATATAAGGAATTAGAAAAAAAATATGAAGAATTAACTAAGAATATCGAAAGAAGAAACAGTGAGTCTGTAACAAATTATTTAGCGCAGATTCAAGGGCTTAAAAATGAATACGATGTATTGAATGGACAATATATTGAATTGAAAAAAAACAATCATGATTTAGAAAATAAAAATAATGAATTATCTAAAATTCTTGAACATCTCAAAGCGGAAAATGAAAACCAAGAATCGGGTTTTTCTATTTTCTTATCTAAAAAAAAATCAAAGAATAATAAAAAACAAGAAGCTGACTATC